AAAAAAAAAAAAATATATATATATATATATATATATATATATATATATATATGTGTGTATATATATATATATTTTTTTTTTAAATGAATAAAGCAGTCAGTTAAGAGATTAAAGGAAAAGTAGGAAGGTTCTAATATTTCACAAGCTGTCATGTGACAGGAGGAATTCGATCTAATCATCCAGGGGTAGGATGGATTAAATTTCAAAATTTCAGAAAAATAATTTTTTTTTTTTTTTGGTGGCTGGCCAGTATGGGGATCCAAACCCTTGACCTTGGTGTTACAAGGCTGCGCTCTAACCAACTGAACTAACTGGCCAGCCCTAGAAAAATAATTTAATTCATTTATGGGAGAAATTTCTACCAGCTATACTTTTTCCAAGAAGGACCAAGCTGCTGTGGAGTGGGGGATAGTACACCATCACAGACTCCTCTGCTTGGAGGAGTATTGTAGGAAGTCCTCAAACTTTACATGGATGGTTGGTTCAGCTGAATTCTCATCTTCCCAATACTTGAGGTCTGATTCTGAACTACATACCCTGCTTACAATCTGATGGGGATAAAAACACAAGTATACAGATATCAAAGTCTGCTTTTCAGTGTTTTGAATTAAGTGTCATAAGAGCTATAAATAAAGTGTTGGGATATTAGAGGAGATGCAGATTGACTCATGGAAAGATTCATGATTTTATATCTTGTGTATTCATATGAGGGCTTTGGGGAAATCTTAAGGCAGCATGAGCACCTCAAGGGGGCTTTGTTTAATTCTAGTTAACTAGCCAGGTGTGGAAGAAAGAGCCCAGGATGTCTCAGTTTGCAGAGGAAGACTGGAGACTAGGAATATGATGTTAAAATTATGTATTTTACTGCAACTTTCTTGCTCTTTTTTTTTTGGTGTATGTGCATCCTTCACACCTTTTGTTTTCTTTTTTCTGGATATTAACTGTGAGTTTCATATATATATAATTATATATATGTCAGCTAGTATTCTTTACAGATGTAAAAATTGGTCTGATCAATTGAGAGGAATATTTGTAGATATTTTCTCTTTGCATTCATGTATAAAATTTTTTTTTAAAATTCTGCCAATGAATTTACTTATATACCATGATTTCAAGACCATCTTAACTTTCACACCTTTTAAAAGTTGTCAAAAATTGATATACATTTCTTTTGAAAAACACAATTTGTCAAATTATCCCATGGAATTTTTATTTTTTTTAATTTTTATTTTTTTAAAAGATGACCGGTAAGGGGATCTTAACCCTTGACTTGGTGTTGTCAGCACCACGCTCTCCCAAGTGAGTGAACCGGCCATCCCTATATGGGATCCGAACCCATGGCCTTGGTGTTATCAGCACCGCACTCTCCCGAGTGAGCCACGGGCCGGCCCATCCCATGGAATTTTAATGAGGCATTTTCATACGCTACTAATTAATAATTTATTAACATGATATGTAGCAGTATATCTGCAAAACGTAAATATATTAAAAATAGCCTATAAGAAAAAAGAGACAAAGGAGTGATTAGGGGCTTTACCTGATTTGGAAAATTATTTTGCCATTCTCAAATTTTATTATGGGTTTTTGTTACACACTATGGCTATATTTTAACTTGTTCAAATGGAAACTATTGATGAGCAATTCCTATTTTTCTAACATGTGCAATGCTACAATAAATATCTTTGAATATATGCATTTATACATTGATGCTTCCTTTTTTTTTTTTCAGCTGGCCAATGCAGGGATCCAATTCCCCCCCCCGCCCCCGTGTTATCAGCACCATGCTCTAACCAACTGAGCTAACTAGCCAGCTCCTGTTTTGTTTTTTGTGTTTTTTTTGAAGCCATATTTCCGTAAGTGACTATGTAGGGTCAAGCAGAATGCGTATTTAAAACTTTGACATTGTGTAATTTACTTCCAGAAAAGATTGTAACAATTTACATTTCCAGCTGGCCAGTTAGCTCGGTTGGTTAGTTTGCTGCCAAGGTCAAGGGTTCAGGTTCTTGTGCCAGCCCGCTCTATATAGCCAGCTGCCAAAAAAAAAAAAAAAAATTGACACTTCCAGCATCAGTGTAAAGAAGTGGCCTTTACCTTGTGTAACTAGCATGGAATGTTATTGCTCTTCTAAATTTTTGTCAAGATGATGAGTAAGAAATAGTATCTAGGGCCGGCCCGGTGGCTCACTGGAGAGTGCGCCGCTTGGGAGCGTGGCGGCGCTCCCACCGAGGGTTCGGATCCCATGTGGAGACCAGTTCCCACTCACTGGCTGAGCGCTGTGCGGGCGCGACACCGAGGGTTGTGGTCCCGTTACCGGTCAGTAAAAAAGACAAAAAGGAGAAAAAAAAAAAAAGAAATAGTATCTAATTAATTTACATTTTCTGACTCCTCTATGAAGTTCAGCATCTTTTCAAATGCTTATTGGGCATTTGCATTTCCTCTTCATTGAATTGCTTAATCATATTCTCTACCTATTTTTTAAAATTGTGTTCCTGTTTGTCTCTATCGAATAAATCTACTTTGTTGGTATCTTTGCTTGTTAGAAACCTTAACCCTTTGGAATATGTGTTGTAGCTGTATTTCCTGTCTGTGACTTGTCTTTTGATCTTGAGCATGGGTTTTAGAGTCTGAAGGATTAGTAGTAGGATTTGAATCTGGTTGCATGATTTTCTAGCTGTGAGATCTTGAATTTCTTTAGCCTCTTAAAGCCTTAGTTTCCTTTAAAATTGAGATGATAGTGTCTACTTTTAAAGGGTTGCTATGATAAAACTCATAGCAGATGCAGCTACAAATATAACTAGTAGCTCCCTTTCTCCCTTTTAGCTTGTGTAAAGAAATAGGGCTTGAGTGTCTAGTGAGTTAACTGATACAGAATAAAGGTTCTGTCTGTAAGGCTGAATTTTCCTGAAGCGTATTAGCATATTTTGTATTTAAAAAAAATTTTCAGGAGATGGACATGACAGCGCCCTGCTCGCAGGCTGCTGTGGCGCTTACTGGAAAGGGAGCCTGGCCGATCACCTTTAAGGGGCCTAGCAGTAGGGCTTTGGCCGAAGTAACCATGCTGAGATGTGGTTTGAGATTCTCCCCAGACTCGCCACCATGGGCGTGCTTGCTCATCCTAGGAGTGGCCACTTTGTACATCAGTGGTTCACTAAGTGGGGCAAGGAGAAAAGGGTTGCCCGTTATCCATATCAGGGGAGTTTGATGGAAAGAGGCACATCTCTGGAGTTATTCGTTGCTATGTGTCAGATAGTTTGTAGAACATTGATTAAGGAAGCATTTTCATGATTGATGAAAAATAACTCAGTTATGGTCATCCATTCCTGCTAGAATGTTATGCAGTATATTATGTAGCATGCAGTGTGTTATGTAATGCTTAATAAAAATAAAATGGAAAAGAAAAAAATTTCCTCTTGATTTTTTGTAAATTACTGTAGGGATGTTTATAAACAATGATTAAAAAGAAGTGAATAAAAATGATGGGTAGTCTTGTGATGGTAGGATTACAAGTGCTCCCATCTCCCCTTTTGTGGTTTTTCATTCTCTCTTGCTTTAAAATTCAGAAAAGAACATTCCTGCCTTTCTTAGATGTTTATGGGGGACCAGGGAAGTGATTTGGGTTTGGTCATTCTTGGGCTATAGTTTTAAAATGGGGCAGAGATCTTCTAGACCAGTTCGGTAGCAAAAGACCTAAAAATGAGACAACTTCAAGGGTAAGATGAACTTCATGGGAGAAGAAATGGGTAACTACTTGTATGGTCACCCTTTTCACTTACAGATTCTCCTAGCAGAACTCTCTTGTTCGTTTTCTGGAAGATTCATTGCAATTAGGAAGGCTATTTTCTGACATCTGGAGTCTAACTCAGTCTTTCAGTGTAGAAAAGCAGAGGTGTTTATAATTTATGAGGTGCTACAGTATGGATGATCTGTCATCCAACTCTGCACCCATTGGTCACTTTAGTGTGCATTGGTGTTAGGTTTTACACAGGGGAGAGTTTTGTGGGTATGTGCTAAGTGAGAAGTAATAAT